AATTAAGAATAAAAATAGTAAAAATTGTAATTCATATAATTCGTAATTGTTAATGTCATATTATGAAATTCATATAATTGAGAATTGAGAATTGAAATGACGAAATGTTTATATTTTTAAATTTGAAATCAGGAATTAGAATTTTGAAATCATGCTTGTGAATCAAAATGTCTATATTTTGAATATTGAATAAACCAACGTACATTTGTTGAATTGGAAATTGTTTTTTTTTGCTTGTGAAGAGGAATTAAAAGGAAATTAGGGTTTCAAATTATGGTTTTAAAAGTAATTTTGTTTAATTAAGAATAAAAATAGTAAAAATTGTAATTCATATAATTCGTAATTGTTAATGTCATATTATGAAATTCATATAATTGAGAATTGAGAATTGAAATGACGAAATGTTTATATTTTTAAATTTGAAATCAGGAATTAGAATTTTGAAATCATGCTTGTGAATCAAAATGTCTATATTTTGAATATTGAATAAACCAACGTACATTTGTTGAATTGGAAATTGTTTTTTTTTTGCTTGTGAAGAGGAATTAAAAGGAAATTAGGGTTTCAAATTATGGTTTTAAAAGTAATTTTGTTTAATTAAGAATAAAAATAGTAAAAATTGTAATTCATATAATTCGTAATTGTTAATGTCATATTATGAAATTCATATAATTGAGAATTGAGAATTGAAATGACGAAATGTTTATATTTTTAAATTTGAAATCAGGAATTAGAATTTTGAAATCATGCTTGTGAATCAAAATGTCTATATTCTGAATATTGAATAAACCAACGTACATTTGTTGAATTGGAAATTGTTTTTTTTTTGCTTGTGAAGAGGAATTAAAAGGAAATTAGGGTTTCAAATTATGGTTTTAAAAGTAATTTTGTTTAATTAAGAATAAAAATAGTAAAAATTGTAATTCATATAATTCGTAATTGTTAATGTCATATTATGAAATTCATATAATTGAGAATTGAGAATTGAAATGACGAAATGTTTATATTTTTAAATTTGAAATCAGGAATTAGAATTTTGAAATTATGCTTGTGAATCAAAATGTCTATATTCTGAATATTGAATAAACCAACGTACATTTGTTGAATTGGAAATTGTTTTTTTTTGCTTGTGAAGAGGAATTAAAAGGAAATTAGGGTTTCAAATTATGGTTTTAAAAGTAATTTTGTTTAATTAAGAATAAAAATAGTAAAAATTGTAATTCATATAATTCGTAATTGTTAATGTCATATTATGAAATTCATATAATTGAGAATTGAGAATTGAGAATTGAAATGACGAAATGTTTATATTTTTAAATTTGAAATCAGGAATTAGAATTTTGAAATTATGCTTGTGAATCAAAATGTCTATATTTTGAATATTGAATAAACCAACGTACATTTGTTGAATTGGAAATTGTTTTTTTTTGCTTGTGAAGAGGAATTAAAAGGAAATTAGGGTTTCAAATTATGGTTTTAAAAGTAATTTTGTTTAATTAAGAATAAAAATAGTAAAAATTGTAATTCATATAATTCGTAATTGTTAATGTCATATTATGAAATTCATATAATTGAGAATTGAGAATTGAAATGACGAAATGTTTATATTTTTAAATTTGAAATCAGGAATTAGAATTTTGAAATCATGCTTGTGAATCAAAATGTCTATATTTTGAATATTGAATAAACCAACGTACATTTGTTGAATTGGAAATTGTTTTTTTTTGCTTGTGAAGAGGAATTAAAAGGAAATTAGGGTTTCAAATTATGGTTTTAAAAGTAATTTTGTTTAATTAAGAATAAAAATAGTAAAAATTGTAATTCATATAATTCGTAATTGTTAATGTCATATTATGAAATTCATATAATTGAGAATTGAGAATTGAAATGACGAAATGTTTATATTTTTAAATTTGAAATCAGAACGGCTTTAGTAAAGCCAAAACCAATTTCTGAATAACACATTCTAACCCAAAACAAAGAGAAGAGAAAAAAATAAAAAATATCAAAGTTTACATGAAAACGGCTTTAGTAAAGCGAGAAGAAATTTATGAATTACATTATCAGCTTTTAACCCAAAACAAAGACAACAGAAAAAAAAATATTATTTAAATGAAAACGGCTTTAGTAAAACCAAAACAAATTTCTGAATAACACATTCTAACCCAAAACAAAGACAAGAGAAAAAAATAAAAAATAAAAAAGTTTACATGAAAACGACTTTAGTAAAGCGAAAAAAAAAATAATTAATTACACAAAACAATAAGCAAAAAAAATATTTACATGAAAACAACTTTAGTGAAGACGAAATTTTTTTTTTAATTACATTTTCTAAATCAAAACAAAGACAAAAGAAAAAATGAAAAATGTAACATGACAACGGCTTCAGTAAAGCCAAATAAATGAACATGATTAGCTTAATAATATCTACATGAATATGATTTTGAAATTATATATATGAAAAATAGTATGTAAAATTAATATATGAAAAGAGGTTTTTTTTCATATTATGTAAAATTTATGAATTACACATTCTAAACAAAAACAAAAGAAAAAAAAAACATATTTTAACATGATAATTGCTTTAGTAAAGCCAAGTACTAAAATATACAGTGTAAATATATTTTTTAAAATATGTTTTATGTTTTTTTCTTTTGTTTTATCTTGAAAATAGCGTTTTATTCCAACAAAGTTTATGTTAAAAACGCTGGGCGGAAAAAAAATTTCTGTTAAAATCGCTATTAGAAATAGCGTTTTTTTGGCAACAAAATTTGAACTGAAATCGCTATTATGAATAGCGTTTTTTCGGCAACAAAATTTGAACTGAAATCGCTATTATAAATAGCGTTTTTTTTGCAAAAAAATTTTTGTTAAAATCGCTATTATAAATAGCGTTTTTTTGGCAAAATTTTTTTTGTTAAAATCGCTATTAGCAATAGCGTTTTTTTGGCAACAAAATTTTGTGTGAAAAGCGCTGTTAAGAACAGCGTTTTTATTGGGAAAAAAATTAACGCTATAAGCGCTATTCGTAACAGCGACTTATTAATCAAAGTCGCTATTTGTAATAGCGATTTTTCTGTTCATTTACTTTTGCGCTCCTAACAGTAAAAGCGCGAATAGTAATGGCGCTTTAGCTTAGTTTTGAAATTCCGTCAAAAGTTGACCTAGTTTTAAAAATACAATGTAAAAAAGGCTTATATTAAGAAAAGACTCCCAACTTTTCCCCAAATCATTCCCAAAAATGTTATATATATACCCGTTTGCATGTGCAATTTTTTACATTCCACACGTCTACAACTGTCTCACTTTCAACCCCGTCTTGGGATTGCAGAGTGTCTTCTTATAAAAGTCTATTGTATCAAAATATATATATATATATATATATATAGAAAATTCAATAATGTATAATAAAAATAATTAATTAATGATTAAAGAAATTTTTTTAAAAAAAAGTTATTTTATATATTTTAATAGAATATCACATTATTAAAACAGTAATGATTCAGATTCCCATAAAATATTACCCCCACAACCCCCACTCACTTGTGATTAGTCTAAGTAAAAAAGAGGAAGAAAATAAAAAAAATAATGCAAACATATCATTGATCCACATCAGTGTGGGGTGGTGGGGTCTCTCCAAAATGAGATCCCAAACATTATTCTTATTAAAAAGTGTGTTTAATTTTTTAGTTAAAATAGCACCGATTGCCAAAGCATTATCATAAATTTTAGATCAATGATATATTAATGTTGTGGGGTCACTCTAAATGAATATTAATCATTAATGTGAAATTTTAGACACTTTTATAAAATAAAATAAAATAAAAATTCCTGAGATTATAGCATTTCTCATAAAAGTATCTTAAAAGTGGAAGTGTCTCTAAGGTTGGTTTGAGAAAAGGATTTTTGATTTTTTTGATTAAAATATGAGGCGATAAAAATTAGAGTTTTTGAGAAAGACTTTTTTACACAAACAATCAAAAAGTAGAGAGAATAAGGACAAAAATACTCTAGACATCTCAAAAATTTTACTAAAAATTCTACCAAATATTTTATATAGGTGTAGGACCCATATGAGACTCACATTGTGTGGATCCCACATCCATGTGAGACATTTGATAAAATTTTTAATAAAATTTTGAAATCTCTAACATTACTCGAATAAGAATGAATCTTTCACTTTTTTAATGACTTTTTGACTATTTTAATAAAAATTTTCAACTATATTATATTAACTAATTGTCAAACATTGCTATGGTGTACATTGTGGGTGCTTGAGAAGTTACTATATTAGTAGGCTATTTTAGTTTTTACCTTTTTAAGTAGGTTAAAATTTTTGTATTTAGAAAGATGATTAGATTTTTTTATAGTTGAATGTGATATTTGTAAGAGAAAAAGTGACATGATTATGTGTTTGATGTGATATTTTGTCTTATCAGCTATTTTAGCCTATTTTATCTTGTTGTAGATCTTCGCCTAAAAGAAGTTGAAATTTTTCTTCCCTAGCAATATGTTTATATATAAATTTATGAATTATGTAAATAATTTTTAATTTTTTTATACCACTATGTCACTATTTTAAGAGGAAATTGATGCATAAAAAAAATTAATACTTACATATTAAAAAAAAAATTCTCTTTCTCGATTATTTTTTATACTTCCTCCCCAATCACTCCTTCCAAAAAGATGTGCAATATACATGCTCAGCCATAGGTTTGTGCTCTTTGCTCTTTAGAACAAGTTCAAATTCCAAAAACATTCCCACAACTGAACAACTGTGACAATTTCAAAAGCAATTTTAACCCCCATCTTGCCAAGCATTATTCACTTGGTAACTATTTTATCAATCTTCAACGATTTATCAAAAAAAAAAATGACTTTCTTGATTTTAATGAACACAACATAAAACATCAATTCAATCAAGTTTTCAGTTATCTCCAATGCCAGAAGAAAAGAGCAAAGTGTCTAATTAAAAAAATGAAGCAATGTGAAATACAAAAGTTCAAAAAACAACAAGATTTGTATATTAGAATCTAAAAGTTACACCCGAACAAACTCATAGACGATACAAATATATGAAGAGCCTATCTAAATTCATGAAAACACAAAACATTGAACAGAAAAACATCTTCTAAGGGCCATCCTGAATCCTGATCGCTATATCTAAATTCACCGATAACAGAAACAATGCATCAAAGCTGAGAACAAATGGCGGCTCAAAACAGATTGTAAAGGTAATCAAAAACCATATCAGCCATGTGGTTTAAAGCTCTAAAATGCTTATATCGCGGAATTTTTCTTGTTGGGTTCAAACACATACTTGATCAATGACTCCTTGATATGTAGCAACTCGGGGAATTCCTTCTTCAACTTCGACGCGTCCATTTCATTATTGCTTCGAGCGGCAACAATAACCTTTGCTTGCTCTTCGAGCGTGAAATTGGCCCACTTAAATTCGGGATCAATGTATTTCTTGTACATCTCCAAAATCTCATTATGACTCACAACGCCTGGGTTTGTGAAATTCCATATGCCCCTTAGGTTCCGCTTTGCCATCTCAATCGAAATGGGTAGAAGCTCATCCAAGATGGTCATGCTGTTTGGAATGTTGACCACTTTATTATAACGAGAAATTTTGGTAATGAAGTTACGCGGGTTGTTAAGGTCTGAAGATATGGGCATTCGGACTCTGAGGGTGCATACATTGTCGTATTCTTTCAAGAGGTCCTCAACCTGGTTCAAAATCAAACAAACCATTATGAATAATCATTTGTGAGTATGATTTTCCAAAAAAAGAACACAATTTTAGAATGATATTGAAATAAAAGCTAGAAATGTGAAGCTACCATGGCCTTGGTCTTTGAGTAGTAAGAACCGGTGAAATTGGGCGTGTCTTCCTCCTTGTACCCAATTCCAGAACCTTCTGGATGAGCAGCATCGTATTCAAATATACATCCAGTAGCAAAATTTATCATCAAAAGCCCATACTCTCTGCAAACATCTGCTAAGTTTAGAGTACCAGCAACATTGGCACGTATTGTTTCTGTTTTATGACTTTCACACCAATCAACATTGGGTCTGCCAGTCACACCAGCAGCGTTGAAAACATGGGTCGGCTTAACATTCTGAATATCTGCCAAGAGCTGCGACCTATCCTCCAAACGCCCCTTTCCATACTCGTATGAAATTCCTTGTTTCTCACATAACTTTCCCAGTAGACCTCCAATCCACCCGGTCCTACCATAAATCAAGAATTTAAAGGGTTGTTTCCGAGGAGAGCCACTGCCTTTGGAAACTGGTACCACCATTTTGATCTGATTAGAAGAACTTGACAGATGAGACGATCCATTGCTGCATTTTTCAGCCTCGTCAAAATGTCTCTCGGCTCCACCAGGCATCATAAGCATTCTAGGATGAGGAAGCAAAGCTCCAGATACATCGCCCCACCAATTGGGGTTATTGATATACCATTCCATTGTCTTCTTCAAACCCTCTTCCCACGTAGTCCGCTCTGACCACCCCAAAACCTTCAACTTCTGATCATCAAGAAAGTACCTCTGGTCATTAAACGGCCTGTTCTCAACAAACTTAATGCTTGTTTTTGGGTCCATCGAAAAGAGCTTGCATATATCCGTGGCAACATCGGTTACTCTCCTTTCCTTCTTTGTCCCAATATTGTAGACATGACCAACTTCACCCTTATGAAGAATAACTTCGAATGCCTCAGCAACATCCTCGCAATAAAGATAGCTCCGCACATTAGCACCATCACCATGAATCGGAAGGGGCTTTCCTTGCATAGCTAAGAGGATAAACTTTGGGATTAATTTTTCGGGAAATTGATTTGGGCCATAAACATTGTTTCCTCGAGTGGTAATCACAGGTAACCCATATGATCTCCCATAAGCCATAACAAGCATTTCTGCCCCGGCTTTTGTTGCTGAGTAAGGGTTTGTAGGCAGGAGTTGAGAAGCTTCGTGATTTCCTACCACGGCATCCTCATCTGTTTCTCCATAGACCTCATCGGTGCTCACATGGATAAACCTTCTGATCTGGCCGGTGACTTTGCAAGCCTCAAGAAGAACATGGGTACCATAAATGTTGTTTTTGGTAAATTCAAAGCTGTTGCCAAAGGAATTATCAACATGGGTCTGGGCTGCAAAGTGCATTATTGTGTCAATGGATTCAGTGATAAGGAGGAAATTGACAAGATCAGCACTGCCAATGTCTCCCTTAACAAACTTGAAATTTGGGGATGATCGAGAAGGGTTTAGATTTTTAAGATTCGAACAGTAATCAAGCTTGTCAAGAACAACAATATTGTATTCGGGGTATTTCCGGATCAGGCCGTTAGCAACATGAGATGCAATGAATCCGGCAGCCCCAGTAATGAGGATGTTCTTCGGAGTATATGGAGCCATGTCAGAGCAATCTCTATTCAATACAAATTACACAACTCAAATCAGAACCACAAATCAAATGATATGGAATCCAAAAAATGCTGTGAAAAACAAAACCCAATTCACTGAAGAACCAAATAGCAGAAACTAACAAGAAAACAGAAAAAAAGACTGATACAAATCTTTACACTTACGAATTTACATGACTATTAGATCTCCAATTCATTCCAAAGCAAGATCCTAACAGCAAGTAGCACAAAATTTTTGTACAAATCTTCCATATAAATATAAATACATGTTACTCAAATGCTTCAATAACAAACAACAAAGTATCAATCAGTGCAGAAATGCTATAATAAAACAAAACCCAATTCACTAAAGATAAAAATAGAAGCAACCCAAAAAAGGAAAAAAGAAAAAGACTTGTACAAAATCATACACCATTACAAATATTTAACATGACTATTAGATCTCCAATTCATTCCAAAGCAAGATCCTAACAGCAACTAGTATAGATTTTTTTTGTACAAATCTGGAATAAAAATACATGTAACTCAGATGTTTCAACCTCAAACAACAAAACATCAATCAGGGCATAAATCGAACTGGGTTTTCAAAATCCAATCCAGGAAGCAAAAACAATAATCTAATTACACAAAATTAACTGATCCAAGAGGCAGATTAGCGAACAGTCATTTGAAACAGTTGAGAAATAATTATCAGATCCAGGAAGCAAAAACATTAATCCATGGTTCCCAACCATGGAGATCAAAGTCCCAATTATCAGATCCGACACTTAATGACATTGATACATATCAGATCTGTGTGAAATAAAGCAAATGTCTTTGGATGAATCAAAGTTTGAGCAGCATTAAAGACAAGACCGTATAAGCAAACAGGTCAACAACACTAATTGAAGAATACCCAGATCACAAACAAATTCAATTAATGCAAAGAATAAATAAACAAAACGATATGATAGTTTGGATCAACTTACGAATTGGGTCTTGAGACCAATATCAAACAGGAAGGAGAGAAAGAAAAGGAAGAGACTGGAGAAAGAAAATCAAGAGACTAGAGAGAGAGAAATGATTGAAGAAGAAGGATTGAAGAAGAGCGAGAAGAGAGGAGAGAGAGTTAAGAGGGAGAGGCTACATTGACGAAACACATCACGGAAATAGTCGTGTTTATTCACCCTTCACCGGGAGAGGAGAGGAGAGAGAGAGAGGGACGCGGAGACAGTTGAGGGGAGCCATCTGCGAAGGAAGTGAAATGACGAAAATGTAAAAGAATATAATTTAGTCGGTCGCCAACGGTATTGTCATTGATCGTAATATAGACATGTGATATTTTATGTGTATTAATTAATTTATATATTAATGGATTAATAAGTGTTATATTATTATTATTAATTTTATTTATTATATAAATTATAAATATTTAAAAATTTTAAAATTATGTCATATTATATGTTAGTATATTAGTTAATACATTAATTAATATATATAGTATTATTTTATTTTATAATATTATAATTGGTGAAAAATGTGAGTAAGTGTGAAATTGTGTTGGGTAATCGGAGAATATGATGGCATATTAAATAATAATTGATTAAGGTATATAGACATGTATTATTCCAAAAATATTAAACAATTTCCCGTCATTGATAAATGAAATGAGAGATACGATTTTATATTAAATGATTAAAAAATATAAAATAATATTATAATTTATGATTGATAAAAAATATCATCACGTAATGCTCTTAAACTAACCAATAATTATAGGTAAAGCTTGGTAGAATTTTAAAATTATGATTTAATAATAGAGTTGTATTTTGAGTTTGTAAGTTTTAGAATTATGATTTGAGTGTAGAAAATTTGTTTGACTATGAGTTTTGAATTGAGTTTGAATTTTTTGATGTGGCATACAATATTTGATTCAAAAACTTACAATTCATAACCAAACACATAACCCAAAATTATATTCAAAACTCATAAAAAAATTTAAAAAAAAATCCAAAAATATTTTTTTATTTAAAATATAAAAATAACAGATATCTAAAAAATATATTTCGATCAACTGATTAGACGTCCGAAGAAACATCCGGAAAAATGATCAAATAAACATGTTTTTAAAAGTGAATATGAAATTAATTTTTAAAAATTATACCTAAATACCACACTTAAATATAAATATAAAATTATATTTAGAACTTCATACCAAACACCGTCATAATTTTTCTTTCATATGGGACTAGTCTTGGTCATAATTTACTCCACGCGGTCCGTGTGAGGGCCGCCATTTACGAATGGAATGAATGCTGCTTCATTTTGGTTGGCCACGGCAATTATGTCATTGAACAATGCTATGTAATAATAGAATAATATTATATATGTATTAAGGAAAATGCGGGAGACCCCAGTAAGGGGCGACTCCCAGCGATCCCCAGCCCACGTAGTTGTGGGTAATTGGCCGAAAATGAAAAAAAAAAAAAAAACTGACGAATAGCGTTGCGCCACGTCACTGGGGGTCGACCCCAAGTGGAGTCTGTAGCAGTGTTGATGTATTAATTAATATATTAATAGGTAATGAGATATCGTTTTAGAGATTTTAAATATTTATAATTTATATAATAAATCGAGTTAATAATAATATCATAATATTAATTGATAATTGATACATTAATTAATATATTAATTGACATATGTAACATCATTGATACTAATAAGATCTTTATGCTTAATGCTATATAATAATAAGGATTTTAGGTAATTTTGTTGATTTAGGGGTGTTTTGGCAAGCATATATGAGCTCATTTGTTTTTGGAGTTAAGTTGAGTGAGATTGTTAAAGAGTATTTAAGAAACATTATAGAAATGTAATTTTTTATCTTTTTATTTTTTTTAGTCATATCATCTCTTTATTTTTTTTATATTTTTTTTGTAAAAAAGTCAAAAAATATATTTATCCCAAACAATCTTGTGGAGCTTGTTAATGAAGAGATTAAGAAAAATTATATTTGTTTGTAATATATTTTAATAAGGAGATTAACTACATGAATACCATAAATATCTTGTGATATTTTTGATATATTTTAATATTAAAAATTATATTTTTTATTTTAATATTTATATATGCCATAATACCAAAACAAAAAATCACACACAAACACACAACAGGGGTAAAATAAACTTTTTTAATTAATTTTCTTACTAGTTTTGGAACTCAACCCTTTGAGGCGTTTGCTAATCGACTTCTCCAAGATCCATGCTAGTTTGAAGAGACGATTAACATCAAGTTCCATTTTGCAAATAAACATGAATTTTTGTAGTCCCTACTCGCTATAAGAGTATTTGGAAAGATTATTGGGCTAAAATAATTCACTAAAAAACAAAATAAACTAAAATAATCAATACAACAAAATGTCACATTTAATCCATAATCATTTTAATTTTTCTTTCACAACCATCAAATTAATTACAAAAAATAAAAATAAAATCAACTAACTAACTTCCCAAACACAACTATTTTAGTTAAGTTAAAATAATCAAAAAGTCAAATAATCAACTAAAATAGCCAACTTTCCAAACAATGCCTATGAATCCAGTCCTCTCCTCTATAACCCAAAACAAATAAGGCCTAACAGCCTTAGAATGATTAATAGTGAAGGGATTAATAATCCGTAACTTTAGTACTGAATTGGTTGTCCAGCTAAATTAGTGAGATATATAATTTACTTTTATCCACCTTTGTTTTGCAATAGATATAAAAATATATAATCTCAATTATATGTATATTTTGTGTTATCAATCGTAGGATTAAAAAATCTATCAATTTTGTTGAATTTGAAATCTAATGTGAACAATAAAATTTGCAATAAATAATGAAATATGAGTTCCATGGATTAAAATCTCAAATAAATAATAAAGAATTTATTTTATTATAAATTCTTTATTATTTATTTTTATTATTAGTTATCTAAATTGTATACGTATCGTATGTATCACCCGCTAATAAAGAATTGAAAACGCAATGTGAAGCTCCAATGCTGTGTACAATTTCGGAGAAAACGAAAAATGTAAGGTTTTTGGTTGTGTTACTTATGTATATAATATAAATTCAATATAATCTAACAATATAAATTACTTTCACATCATCAAATGGCTAATAAATTATATGTATATTTAATATTTTTTTTTATAGAGTTTTGAGTTGCTTCGACTATTTGATATCTTTACCCAAGCCTACTCAAATTTAATTCAGACTTTTGAATTTTTACCTAGGTCCTAAAAAAAATTGGCTCAAGTTAAGCCCATCCAGGTTGCATCCCTACCTAAAATAGTCAAAAAGTCAACTATTCTACTTACCTTTATGTACATCTTTTCATAAATAAATAATAAATAAAATAAATAAAAAAAGTAAAAAATCAACTTGAAAAATCTAGAAATCCCCTAAATATTGATTTGTGATTATGTAACAATTTTAAGCAGTATATAACAATCCCAATCAAACAATCAACACAAATCAACACAACGATTTTAACGTGGAAAAAATCACAATTGGACACCTCCAACTGTGATTAAAAAAAACACGGGCAACAGCCACAAAACAATCCACTAAGAAAATTTAAAGGAATTACACAAGTATACTCTCAATTACCTAGCGAATCCACGCCTAATTGAACCAACCTCTATGTGTCTCTTCCAACCCGTCTTCACCTCGGAATTGTCTTTACGATGAGCCACCCCGGAATCCACTAAAGCTTCAGGCTCGAATTCTTCAGAATCCACCGAAGAACAACTCTCTCTTTTGTAGAACAAACAAAACCTTTGATGTATACTCTTTAAAACATGAGTTGAATACTCAATCAAAACATCAAAGAAAACTCACAAAATATTTCTAGATGTAAATCTTAAGAACCAAAAAGAAGATCCGGAGGAATTAAATAGTTTTGGGAGAAAACCAACTATTTATAGAAAACCAAAAGTAATCCTAGTTTTGAAAGAAAATCAACTTCTTAAAGAAATCTTTTGTCAAACGGGATTGCCAATAATTAAACCTAACAATCTCCCCCTTTGGCAATGCCGTGACAAAACACACCTAACAAATAAAATCTTAAACACCCCAACCCATTACAGCCAACAAAAACAAACTTCTTTATCAAGGTCATGATCTGCAAAACAACTATTAGTGTCACAATCTCCAAAATAACTATTAGTCCCACAAGAGTATAAGAAAAAACAATAAACATAGGACAAGATTATACGATTATCTTGAAACATGAGATGGAAAACATGAATAGATGAAAACTAAGACTCATGAAAAACAACTCTCAAACAACAAAAGCAAGATCATAAACCAACCCAAGTCAAGATAAACCAAACTCCCCCTCACTAAAAGCAACCACAAACACTAAAAAAGATGAACCAAACTCCCTCTCACTAAAAGCAACCACAATCACTGAAAATAGTGAACAAGAAGAAAACGACAGAAATTATGGTGGAGCAAGCAAGGAATTTCAGATTTGTACATTAAAAACACACAAAATTATCCAAGAAGCACCATTACAAGAAAACACAATGTGCGCAGTCTGTAGAAGATTCCTCATGAAAGAAAGTGATGCATTATGTGAAAAGCATAGATCCCATGATAAAAAGTGTGTGTGTGACTCTTGAAGTTCGACAAAAATTAGATTCAATCCTAGTAGTGATATGAAAGCTAGACATCCGACAAGAGAATCTAAGCACGACAAAGGAAAGTCAAACCACTAGGAATCAAGGGGTATTTGGTGAGTAAAGGCGGAGGCTCCCCCTCAATCAATGAATTTTCTTTCTGTCTTTTGCACATTTTTTTTCCTTTCTTTTGCAAATTTTTTCTTCTTCTTTTTCTTTTTCTTTTTCTTTTTCTTTTTCTTTTGCACACTCATTGGCGGCTGACACCCAAGAGTATGGAAACCAAACCAGAGAAGCATGGATATAATAAGGATGGCCTGGTTGGTGACTCTGAGGTAGCCTTTTCCTCATGGCTAGACTGCAAAGAATTAAGGGGAAAGCCATAGAGATGCAAAAGGATGGGAGGTGGTTAAGAGACTCAATATCACCCAAGATATGCTAGTATAGGTCAATTCCTCTAGAAAAGCAAAAGATACAATGCCAGAAGTCCAAAAAAAAAAAATCACTAAGGCGGAAGACTTCAAAATTTGCTAATCCAAG